ATTGCACCCAATGCTTCAAGTCTTTCATGTGATCTACGTCTTTCTTGTTCAGCATGTAACAATTTGTTATATTCTATTTTACCTAATTTGGATACAGATCAATTTTCTAACGCCTCGAACCTTAGACATTTGAAAAGATTCAGGAGTTTAGATACAATTAATGAATCATCAGGTTTGTACTTATTAAAGAGCTTGTTAAATTACATAGAATGTCTTACCGACACAATTTTTACTGATGTAATAGATGTGCCACCACATTTTCCAATAACTGCTCTTGGAGATCGCTTTAACATTTATGATAACGAGTCTCAATATTCTCAATCATCATCCGTCAATAAGACTCTGCATTCTTCATTGTCATCCTTCAATGGCTCTAATAATTATTTTGAAACGAGAGAATCGCGTACTGGTATAAATAAAATGAGTAAAAAAGTTACCACTATAAAAAACTCAGTCGATAAGGTGTATACAAAAAATCAACTTTCATCACGTGCACTCTCGAAACATCAAATTTTAATATCCAAGTTTTCTAAATTTTCTACAATAAATAAATAAATATAACAGATGCCTGTAATTCCACGATTTTATTTTCCGGTTATATCAAAAATTCAAGAAAATCGACCTGAATCTGTTCTGGTAATGTTTATGATTTAAATTTAAATTTCACAATTAATGTATTTTTTCATTTTCATTTTTTTTTAGATCAAAGTTCAGGAAATATTTATAACTTCAAATAATTGTCTAAATCGGTCTCACTTTGGATTAATCACAAGAGAATGTGGTTTACCTCGTTATATGAGTGTGGCATTATTTTGTAAAATGGTTGAGCTTGGATGCGCCAATGAACGTGTAACTTTTGAACAATTTGAGAGGTAATCAGAATACTCAAATTTTTTATTGTCTCTATCTCTTTCTGTTTTGGATTTTTACTTATTTATTTTTTTTAAGAATATGGCAAACTCTTATAAAAACTTCAATTGATGAAGCGTCATTATGTTTTAACATACTACGAAGTGATAAGAATTATTTTTTGACCATTGATAGTTTTATTACAGTCTTGAAAGGTATATTAGGAATGAATATTATTTTAAACCAATTGAAAGTGTTAATGATGATAGTTACTTTTTTCGACTTGAAGATATAGTAATGACCCATCCTGGACTAGAATTTCTGAGAAAAAATCTCGTATTTCGAGAACGTTATGGTGTGCATGTTTATATTCCATATTTTTACGTCTTGAATAAATAATTTAATTCGTGTATATTCTTTTTTTTTTTTAAGTCGAAACTGTAATCTGTCGACTTTTTTATGATTATAATCGTAATTGGTCCGGTAAAATGACTTACAAAGAATTTAAAAGAATGGATTTACCAGGAATGTTGAGAAACTTGGAATCAAAAATTGATCTAAATCATGTAAGCTAATTAATATTACATTAATTCATAAGTTGAATTGGTTTATAAATATATTTTTTTTTGTGATATTTCAAATTATTCTTTCTCAGATTTGCGATTACTTTTCGTATAAACATTTTTATGTAATATATTGTAAATTTTGGGAACTTGATAATGATTACGATTTACGTATAAGTAAAAAAGATCTTGCTCAATATTCCGATAATGCATTAACCACAAGGATGGTTGATCGTGTAATGCACGGATATGGAAAAATGACTGATTTGTCACCAAAAGAACATGATCCGAAAAATCCAAGAATGAGTTATAGAGATTTTATATGTAATATCAAATATCAGTTCAAATATCAATTTACTTTTTTTTTTTTTGAAATGTTTCTTACTATTATGATTTTCGCAATCGACAACACTTATAGGGTTTCTCTTGTCAGAAGTTGATAAATCTACAAACACTTCTATTGAATATTGGTATGTTCTCAAAAATTTTCTGTATATATAATAAAAAGCATCCAGATTTTAATTATTATTTTTTGGGGGGTGGTATGTTTAAGGTTTCGATGTTTAGATTGTGATGGTGATGGCGTGTTAAGTGTGTACGAACTTGAATGGTTTTATGAAGAACAATTTAATCGTATGCAACTTTTTGGTCTAGAACCAATAAAATTTAAAGATTGCATTTGTCAAATGTAAGTTTTATAATTTATTATTAATTCATAAGACTATCATGATTAAATAATTGTCTGTTTAAATTTCTTTATAAATAGGTTCGACTTGATCAAACCTTCGAATCCGTACGTAATAACTCTCAAAGATCTTAAACGGTGTAAACAAAATGCACCCCAGTTCTTTGATATGTTTTTTAACATTTCTAAATTTATCGCTTACGAACATTATCAACAACAATTAGATGAAATGAAGTAAGTATTGAAAGTTTTGTCAATGTATTTTGTAGTTATGATTCTAATTTTTTTTTTTATTTTTTTTTTTCTAATCTATTAACTGTAAGCGAAATCGATGCATATGTTAACATAGAATATAACAAATTGTTACATGCTGAACAAGAAAGACGTAGATCACATGAAAGACTTGAAGCATTGGGTGCAAT